TTTCTTTAATTACCCTCATCTGTTTGAGAAAGCAGGCATAATCAGCCATTGCAAATGAGTAAACTGTTTAAAACAGTCTGCTGAGTTACCCGACTAAACCTTTTTACTGAATGAAGCTTATCTCTATGTTTTGATTCTACGATCTGAATTCCCTTTCTTATGTTCACGCCTAGCAAAAGACCTGTATCTTTTTCAGGACGTCATTTGTTCAACTGGAGAAGTTGAGTGGACGAGCTTGTATGGAAATGATGATGTGTGGACACCTACGCTAGGACAGTGGGAATCTGCTCCTAATTGTCAGGGAAGATGACTTACTGCCGAATAACAGGAGGAATGCTGTTGGTTTCCTTGTAAATGTGAGTCCCTCTTTTCTTCGCCCGATTTCTATAGAACGTAAATTAATCAATGAATGAGAACGGATCAAAGGAATGGCTTCTGTCCTGACTCCATTTTGAAGTCAACAAAGCGTTATGTATTGTGGTGGTTTTTTTTAGGTTTTTTATTTGGTTAAAAACGCCTATAAAAACAGACAAATACTATAGGGAATAGGAACTTCCCCCCCCAAAAAGGGCCTGTGATTATCACAAAGCTCGGATGTATACGAGAGTATCTGACAGAAGGAGGAAGGCGATCTTTGCGCGGTTTGGTAACGGCAGGCACAGGTACCAGCAGCACAGAATGCGGGTCATTGGAATAATAAGAAATGCATTCAATCTCGAGAAAGTTCAGAAAACAGGAAATGTGGGAGAACTTAGTGAGAAAATGCCATGACTTGCATACTTTTATGTAAACTTTATAATACTTTTATGGCCAACCAAGTAGAAAGAAATTAAGCGTATATATATTACAATATGATATTCTCTAAACCAGAGCTTCTCACTGCATGACCTGTAAGTGGTTGTTTAAATAAGATAAATAAATAGCCTCCAGTAAAGGTACGTCAAAATAGCTGCATCCAGGATTATCGAAGTACAGAAGTTAATAAACTAATCCGCTTGCCGTGAAACCAACGTTGCAAATGGAGGATGATTAATAACTTGAAAATATACGACACTGTAAAGGTTTTACACACAATCTAGTCTGGGAATTGCTCTCCTTGTTCCATGTTTCAAGACGCATCATTAGTTGGGGATGGAGGGAGGTAATTTAGAGTGCTATGGGGGAGTGGATTAAAGAAAAGACTTCAATGTTTGTAGTGAGAGGCTTACAGCAGTCTCTCTGTAGTGAGCTCGTTGTGATAACGTGAATATTCTGTGATATAAAAACCCCCTCTCTGTCTTCAAAGAAGCTACAAATTATAGAAGGCTTAATTTTAAAGCACGTTCCTCTTGAAAGCTGAAAGCTTTTTACAGAACAAAGAAATTCTGATCCAAATTTTTATTTAGCCTCTAGTGTTGCCAAATGAGAGCACGGGGGAAGTAGTTTGCTACGTGCGATGACTCAGTGGATTTCAGCCGTTCGGCGGTGCCGGGAAGCCACTCCAGCCACTCAGGCCAATCCTGCAGCCCCTGCTGGTAACACCCGAAAGAGTGAGTTCACTTTACTTGATCACTAAGTGAGAGGAAAAATAACACAACTGTTAACAAGCCCCGTTTACTGCTGTATCAAAAAGATATCTTCTGATGTTTCTGCATGGACAGAGAAAAAAAAAAAAAGCTTGAATGCAGGCTGAAGGTGTACAACTATGTACAAATGCTATGTGGTAGCATTTGAGTAGTAGGATCCATGAAATCTATTCTCAAGTACTTCTTGTTTGTGTGTCTAATAATACAACTGAGCTTATATGTAGCCTTTTATATTGGATCACAAGACTGTATTTCACTCATCTTGGAGGGCTGCCTGCCTTCACAAAAGCTGTAGGAATATAGTATCTTTGAGAACTCTGGCAGTCTATCAGATTCGATTGAAATTATTCAATGACTTCTACAGTTATCGCAAGGAATTGTAACAGCACGGGCAAAAATACACATGAATAAAATTAGTTCATAGTTTTCTCCTTTGCATATACTAATTAGTTATTTTATTATTATTATTTTTTAAGTATCAATCCAATCTAGTCATATCAGTTCTAGATCCAGATAGAGGAGCATAATCAAGCAAAGAGAGAAATGGAGCCAGTGACAAGCCTTGGAATTTTGAGGCAGACCGTTTACAGCGGTGTTTTTATTTTGTTAACGACTCACCCATTCACGCTTTAAGGAAAGCCGCCTCCCTTGGAGGTTCTCAGTGTTAAACCGAGTGAGATCGTTCCCAGTAGAAAAGCTTGCAGAAGTCCTCAGGTGAAACGAAAGGCTAAATACAAGATGATATTTTAAAGAAAAAGAACACAAAAATAACATTTTCTGATTTCAAGTAACACAAAACTTCTTTATCTGATATAGACAAGGGAGAAATAGTTTCCTTGGTGTTTTTGTTAGAAAAACAATGCAGTTTACTACTGACCTTGAACTGTCTAAAAAAAAAAGGTGTGCGAGCCCTCAAGCCTCTGGCACTTCAGTTTAATCAGGACCTTTAAGTAGCTGAAAATAGAGAGTGAACATGGCTTTAGGAGCTTGGAGTCACCAGCTTTCTCTGGGTGCTTTTAGAGACTTTATGATGCTTTTGATTAAAATGCTCGTTGTGGTAATCAATGGGCAGGATCATCTCAGAGGTTTTCCGTCAGGCAGCTCTCCGCTAATTCTGAGAGGAAAATACAACAGCAAATCAAAAAAACCCGCAGTGTATTTCCTTCCCACCTGGAAATGTTTGAAGTACGGGCGCCTGCGTTCTGTTCGCTATTAATAAACATCAGGTTGTTCTAATTGACTTCCTAAACTGTTGAACTGTTTTAAGTAATGCACAGTTTGTGTTTTTTATTTATTTAACCTCGTGTTTGTTTTAAATTCCCTTTCTGAAAAGGCTGTTCATGCTGGGAAGGATGCTGCAGGCTCATTTTTTGTCGCCGGGGGGGAGCGCCGCTCAGCACATCCCTGGGCAGCGTGCCGCTCGCAGGGCCGAGGGATGCCTGGGGAGTTAGCCAGCCCACCAGCCCAGCCACACGCGTGACGGAGAGCAGAGCGGCGTGGGCTGGCCCGCTGTTCACAAAGCCTTTGTACCTCGGGTTCCTTGTAAGGCTGGTGCCTGGGGAGTTCAGCGCAAACCGGGCTGTGTTCGTTCCCTGCTTCGCTTGTCATTTGCAATTTACGAAAACCAGATGGATGAGTCCACGCTCTGTACGTTAGCGTGGCGATGGGAGCTTCTGACACAAAAGCAGCTTTTACAGAAAACGCCCAGTTCAGAAGTTTCAGGCTCAAGCTAGATTGTTTCTCGCCTCCCCTGCTCTTGTCTGATTTTACATGATCGGTACATGGTCAAGGAGAGTCGGCTGCATCGCTCGGAAATAGCAGGGGATAAACTTTTGACTGTTGCATTTCTTCAGGCGCAGCAACTGGAGAGTAAACGAACAGAGAGAGAGAATTGAAGAGAGATTTCTGTAGGTGTCCTATTTTGACTGCCTTCTCTTCCAACGTCAGTGTAAAATACTGAAGAAACCACAGCAGTCCTTTCCCAGTGTTTCTCTATACAACGTAAGTTACCCTTTCACACTTTTCTCTAACTGTCCTTGCGCTCTTTGCGCTCTCCAGTGCTTTGGAAGAGCAGGGTTGTAGAGGCTGGGCAGCAAGTCTTTGCCCGGAGCTGTGCTGTGCGGAGCCGTGAGCGCTTTGCGTTCACGTCTCTTCCCACATCCAGGTAGTAGCGGTGGAGTCCGAGTGCCCTGACACCACCTTTCCTCGGCAGTCGTGCTAGCACAACTTTGGGTGGCTGTCAGAACCTTTAAAGCTTTGCTCAGCGTTTGCAGAAATTTGTTTGTTGTTGGCAAATACAGTAGCAAATGTTTGGATGGAACCGCGTGTCGAGCTTTCCGTAAAGCGTAATGGTTTCAAAGGGGACTGTGTGATGCTGTGTAAACAGCACAGGATGTGACGAATGTTTCCAGCTCCTTAATATTTAAAAGACACTTGAAACAGCCAAGCAGCTTGCCTAGGAAAGAAATAGCAATGTTTATTCCTGGCAAAATACTGACTCTGCTAAAGAGGACCGTGTCGAGGTATAATTAGGAGGGAGAGTTTCTTCTCACAGGCGTTAGGTTTCTTGAAGTTGGCAGATGACATTAAGGCTGCCATATTCTGCTCAGCTTTTGTGAAGAACGAGACAAACTGTTACCTGACGCTTAGCTCCCCTGCTAAGCATTCTTCTCTGTACCCTTTCCCTCCCCGTGCTGTTTTAATTTTATTTTACTATTTTCATAAGGCATTCTAGGCAGACTGTCAGGCAGATGGATAGATTTGAGTAAGAAGAAAAAATTATAAGGTAACAAGTAATATACCAAGGATAAGGCTTTAATCACCCCACCATCAAATATTCGTCAGGCCAAAATGATTGCACAAATGTCCATTTGTCTGTGTGTAACAAAACTGTGGCAAAAGCACGGTGACTAAGTATTCAGGAACTGAGGACGTGGTATGAGAGAATCTGCCTCCTGTTCCAGCCGCAGACCGTTCCTCTTTGAGGGCGACGGATTTGTTACCCGGCTAACAGTTCTGCGACCAGCTATCGTGGTACCATCATCAGAAGCTCTTTCCCTGGAAGTCCACACTTCTGCTCATACAAAAACCGAACCAGAATTGGCCAGCGATGCTAATGAGAGCTTCTGGATAATATGTATGTTTTAATGCCTTTATTGTGTGAGGTGAGTGGGATATCTGCCTTCTTTCTGTAAATTATTTTCTAGCCTGATTTCGAGGCAAGGTTTGAGACAAGCAGTGTGCACGGCCCGACAGCACATGTGAATGCTGTCTGAGTCCCGCTACATCCAGCAGTACGCACGGCGTTTGGGAAGTCAGGCCTTACCTGGACCAAGGTGACAGTGCAGCTGGGGGATGTCCCAAACTCACAATAGTATTTTTTTCTCTGGCAATCTCACCCTGAAGTTCGGGTTTCCTGGAAAATCTCAGAAAATTGGTGCTTGAAGCCATCTCTAAAACGCGTTGGGTCTGCCTTTGTCCAATAATGGAATCATTCATTCGAAACTTGGATTTGAACAGTTTATATAAACACAGCGATCCTCCTGATTTCCCTGAGGAAAATCGGAGAATTAAACAAACTGAAAAGATCTGGGTGCTCTACTTCAGTGAACAAGGTATTACATTACTACAGCAAAACTATAACTTAGTCATCTGCATAAAATATTGAATATGCAGTTTTAGAGTGATGTAATATTGTGTCTAAACAGATCTAGGCATGGTGAAGTTTAGTTTGTTAGGATTATTTTGAGCCTGAAGGCGCGTGCTGTCTACCAGCATGTTTTGTAAAGTACTCAGGAGTTTATTTGGCAGAGAAGGAGCTACGGTTGGATCATTCTCTCTTCCTCTCGAGTATGCTGCATTTTATCACTTCGAAATTAACATGTTTCAACTTCTTTGAAATCCTAGTGCAGGCAAATTAGGTTTCTGATATAACTGTATGGAACTGTTAAGCAAGGGAAAGGAAGTACCGATAGAACCGTGTAGAAGCCTTTTCACAGATTATGGAGCTGGGGGCTGACAGAATGCTTTCACTTTCTCTAAACTCATGAAATTGTATTTATTTTATTTTAGTTTAACTGTATTTGTTTGTTTGTTTGTTGGTTTTTATTAATTTATTTTAGCTTCATTTATTATTTTCCTTATTTTAACTTAAAATACTTGGAAATACAAGCGTCTGCAAGGCCCCTGAACCTCTAGGTGAGGGCGTGGGGAGCGGATTCTATCCCAGTGTAACAGTGGAACAAGCCCGAGATCTCATTCTTCACCAAAAAGTTCATAACACCTTTAAAGATATACAGAGCAGTAATTAATTATGATTCCTCTGCCTATTTACAATATTGTAATTTTCTTATTACTGAGCATCCCAAGCGATATGTTCTGATTTGCGTTCGGATGGAGGAATATAACTTTGCTGAGGTTAAGAGAGGTAACAGATAACTTTGGGAAAGGGAAACCATACTGTACAAGACATTCACGTCACACAGAAGGTCAGAAGAGTTTATCAAAATAGGACATGAAACCACTTACCTTTTCAGCATCTGCTCGTCAACAAGGAATAATAATCACAGAATCACCAGAACACCAACGCTGGAAAAGAGCTTCAAGGTCATCCAATCCAACCATCCACCTCTCACCAATACTTCTCCCTCAACCACGTCCCTCAACACAAAATCCAAATGTTCTTTGAACACCTCCAGGGTCGGTGACTCCACCACCTGCCCAGGCAGCCCATTCCAGTGCCTGACCACTCTTTCAGAAAAGTAGTATTTCCTAACGTCCAGCCTAAATCTCTCCTGGCGCAGCTTGAAGCCGTTCCCTTTAGTCCTATCACCAGTTACGTGACAGAAGAGGCTGACCCCCAGCTCTCTATAACCTCCCTTCAGGTAGTTACAGAGAGCAATAAGGTCTCCCCTGAGCCTCCTCTTCTCCAGACTGAACAATCCCAGCTCCTTCAGCCACTCCTCATAAGGCCTGTGCTCCAGACCCCTCACCAGCTTTATTGCCCTTCTTCGAACCCACTCCAGAGCCTCAATGTCTTTCTTGCAGCGAGGGGCCCAAACTGGATGCAGTACTGGAGGCGCAGCCTCACCAGAGCCGAGTACAGGGGACAGTCACTTCCCTGTTCCTGCTGGCAACACCATTCCTGATGCAAGCCAGGAAGCCATTGGCCTTCTTGGCCACCTGGTCACACTGCGGGCTCATGTTCAGCTCAGCATCAATTAATACCCCCAGGTCCATTTCCTTTACACTGTCTTCCAGCCACTCTGCCCCAAGCCTGTAGCGTTGCCTGGGGTTGTTGCGGCCAACGTGCAGGACTGGGCATTTGGCCTTGTTGAAACTCATCCCATTGGCTTCAGCCCAGCTCTCTAGCCTGTCCAGATCCCTCTGTAGGGCCTCGCTACCCCCAGTTCAACGCTTCCACCCAACTCGGTGTCATCTGCTAACTTACTGAGGGTGCAGTCAATGCTCTCATCCAAGTAATCAGTAAAGATATTGAAGAGGACAGGTCTCAGCATCGACCCCTGGGGGGACGCCACTGCTGACAGGTTGCCAGCTGGATTTAGCTCTCACTACCACTCTCTGGGCCCAGCCTTCCAGCCAGTTTCTTATCCAGTCAAGAGCGTACCCGCCACAGGCTGCCCGCTTCTGCAGGAGAATACTGTGGGAGACAGTGTCAAAGGCTTTGCTGAAGTCTAGGTGGACTACATCAGCAGCCTTTCCCTCATCTCCCAGATGGGTCACTAGATCGTACAAGATCAGGTTGGTCTAGCAGGACCTGCCTTGCACAAACCCGTGCCGGCTAGACCCGATCCCCCGGTCATCCCGCACATGCTGCATGATCTCCACCAAGACAGTTCACTCTATACACTTCCCTGGCACCAAGGTCAGGCTAATAGACCTGTAGTTCCCCGGATCCTCCTTACAACCCTTTTTGTAGATGGGAATCATGTCTGCAAGCTTCCGGTCTCCTGGGATCTCAGCAGTCAACAAGGAGCGCTGACAGATAATGGCAAGTGGCTCGGCCTCCGCCAGTTCCCTCAACAGTTTCAGGTGAATCTCATCAGGCTCCATGGACTTACAACAGTCCAGCTGGAGTAGTAGGTCTCTAACTGCGTCCTCCTGAATCAGGGGGGGTTCAGTCTGCACTTCAGTTGATACTACCAGGTCAGAGAGCGGAGTTCTCTGAGGATAACTGGTCTGACCTTTAAAGACAGCCATGAAGAAGGCATTCAGAACATCTGCCTTTTTCCTTTCCTCAGTGGTCACATTCCCAGCCTCATCCAGTAAAGAATGGAGATTCTCCTTAATCTTCCTCTTACTGTTACTGTATTTGTAAAAGAGTTTTTTGTTCCTTTTTACCCCAGAGGCCAGGTTGAGTTCAAGCCGGGCTTTTGCCTTTCTGATTTTCTCTCTACACATCTTAACAACTTCTCTGTTCTCTTTTTGCATCACCCATCCCCTTCTTCCACAGGAGATACATTCTCTTTTGCTCCCAGAGTCTCAAGAATAGCTCCCTATTCATCATTCCAGTCTTCATCCTTTCAGGCTCATTTTGCATCTCCGAAGGACAGCCAGCTCCTGTGCCTTTAAGTCTTTTTCTTGAGGAGTGACCAGCCATCTTGGACCTCTTTACTCTATAAGACTGAAACCTAGGGGATTTACCCTACTATTCTTCTGAATAATTCAAAGTCCACCCTCCAGAATTCCAAGGTAGCAGTTACACCATTCCGCCTCCTGGCTCCACCATTTCATGATCAGTCTGTCCAAGACAGCTCCTGACCTCCAGATCTCCCACCAGACCTCTGTGAACAGCAGGTCTAGTGAGGCAGATCCTCCTCATGGCTCTGTCATCAACCGCATCAGAAAGTTATCCTCCGTACATTCCAGAAACCTCCTAGGAGGTTTAAGTAAACTATAAGTTAATATATAAAGTATGTGCTTCATGTAGAAGCTTTGCTGGTATTTCCAGTGTTTGTGATGTGATCCTTCATTTTAGAAGTCATGCTTGATTTCATTTGCTGCTGCGCTTCATGTGAGGAAGTGCAGTTTAGGAAGTTCTGCACAGTGCAAAAGTGCGTAAGGTTTGTTCAATAAAAGAAGTTTATTTATCGTTCCCTGATGGAGCTGAGTCGGTCCAACATTTAAAACTCTGTCTGCTAAACATATTTCTCAGATTCTTTCAAAAGTGCAAGTGGAAAAGCAACAGGTACCAGTTGCTACAAAAACATTGCACAGACCGCAGTACCGCACCCGCATGGATTCCTCACTCCCCATTCATAAGGTGATTTGTCAGCTAAAGAGTCAGGGAGCGATAAGCCAAACTCACTCAACTTTTGGCATCCCCAAATGGCAAGTGTGCCAAGCCCGTGGAGAACTGAGGAGGTTGACGGTAGTCTACCGCGGCCCGAATGAAGTCACACCCCACTGAGGGTTGTTGTCCCAGACACATTAGAACTCCTGTATGAACTGGAGTCACAAGCAGCCTTGCAGTATGCCAACACTGGCATTGCTCATGCCTTCTTTTCCCTTTCTTTGGCCACAGAATGCAGGCCAGTTTGCTTTCATCTCCAGGGGCGCTCGGTACAACTGCAACTGTTTGCCCCAGAGGTGCAAACACAGCCTAAGCATTTGCTGTGGGTCGATACAAACCGCATTGGAACAGGGAGGTGCTCCCAGGCATCTGCAGTCTATTGACGATATTGTTGTGTGGGGGGATACAGCAGAAGTTTTCAGGAAAGCGCAATGAATAATCCATATTCTTCTGCTAGCTCGTTTTGCTATTAAGTGACGCGAAGTGAAAGGGCCTGCCTAGGGAAATCAGTTCCTAGGATTAAAATGGCACGATGGGCATCGTCACATCCCAGGAGATGCGACCGCCTAAATCGCTGCTACGTCTCCACCCTGTAGCGAGAAAGAGACACCATCTTTTCTGGCCGCAGTGGGCTTTTGGAGAATGCGTGTTCCAAACTACAGCCTCATTGTAAGACATGGAAGAAGCATAATTTGACGTGGAGTCCTGAGCAGCAGGAGGCTTTGGAGCAGATTATACAGGAGATAGCCCATGCTGCAGCCCTGGGGCCAGGATGGACAGGACAGGTCGTAAAGAACATTTTCTATACTGCTGCCGGAGAGAAAAGTCCCACATGGAGTCTGTGGCAAATAGCCTCAGGAGAGACCCGAGGCCAACCCCAGGGTTTCCAGGGTCGAGCATACAAGGGGGCTGAAGAGTGCTGAAAAGAAGATCTTAGCTGCGTATGAGGGGGTTCGGGCCACTTCCGAAGCAGTCGGTCCTTTGCCCATCATGCCATGAGGTGGCCAGTGCTTTATCTTTACACTGATTGATGGATGGTGGCAAATGCCTTATGGGGGCAGTTGCAGCACTGGGAAAAAAAACAACCGGCAGCAGAGGGGTTAACCTGTTTGGGCCGCTGAACTGTGGAAATACATTGCTGCCCAGCTGAAGAATATGCCTGTAAAGGCACACCATGTAGATGCTCATGTGATGGAGAGTCAGACTACTGAAGAATAACCAAGTAACTACCAGGTAGATGGAGCTGCCAAAATTGAAGTGGCTCAAGTAGACTCGGTCTGGCAGAACAAGGGTGAATTATTTCTAGCTTGGTGGGCCCATGAGACCTCAGGCCATCATGGAAGGGATGCAACATGTACGTGGGCTACAGACTGAGGGGTGGACTAATCTATGGACACTATTGCACAGGTTATTCATGACTGTGACACATGCGCCACAATTAAATAAGCCAAGAGGATGAAACCTTTCAGGAGGGAAAGGCAATGGCAAATGTATAAATATGGGGAGGCGTGGCAGGTTGATTTTATCAGCTTGCCACGAATCTGCGGTGGTAAGCATTATGTGCTTACCAAGGTGGAGGCAACCACCGGATGGTTTGAAACATATGAGGTACCCCCATGCTATCAACCGTAACACCGTATTGGGTCTTGCGAAACGAGTCCTGTGGTGACATGGCACCCCAGAAAGAACTGAATCAGATAATGGGTCTCATTTCTAAAATTCTCTTGGTTTCATTTCTAAAATTCTCTTCTCTTGGGTCAGAGATCATGGCATCAAGAGGATTTATCATATTTACCAGCTTCTGATGAAATTGAACGATACAGTGGGTTGTTAAAAACCACTTTGAAGGCAATGGGTGGTGGAACAGTTGAGCACCGGGAGAAGCATTTGGCAGAAGCCAGCTGGTCGGTCTACACGAGAGGATCGATCAATCACAGTGGCCCTCCCCAATCCAGCTCCCGACATACTGTGGAGGGAGATAAGGTCCCTGTAGTACCTGTAAAGTCCATGTCGTGCAAAACAGTTTGGTCCTTCCTGCTTCTGGAAAGGACAAACCTCTCAGTGGAATTAGTTTTGCCGAAGGACCTGAGTGCACTTGGTGGGTGCTGCAGAAAGATGGGGCTGTTCAATGTGTACCACAGGGGAATTTGATGCTGGGGGACTGTAGTCAGTAATTCTGCGTTTATACGTACGTACATGTCATGCATTTTAATTATTGCTTGTTTGTATATATACATTATATATATGTATGTATGTATATAAGCATGAGGTAATGATTTGGAATAAGGGGTGCAATGTTATGGTCTTATGACTTTCCTCCTCACATCATCGAGGCTGTTCTGTCTTTGGGCCCAGCTCCCATCTCCCTACCCTTCTCCTTTCCCTTCCCCTTCTCAGGCCAGCGGGCCTGTGTGTCCCCTGTCACGGACACAGAGTGATCCAGATAATGCTGTGACACATATTTTTCAAAACAGTGCTCAGTACAGACCGTATGTTTATGTAGTTCTATCGCTGTCATGGTTTTATGGCCTTGTTCAGACTGGCTCCGTGACTAGCAGGGTGGGGCGGGGGGACACACAGACCCACACCCTGGGAAAGGGAAAAGGGGAAAAAGGGAAAAAATGGGAAAAGGGTAGAGAGATGGGCCTAAAAATAAAACAGCGGCAGCGATCTGAGGAGAAACAAACTGAATTACTAAATAGGATATTGGATTGTGAAATAATACCCTACAACACAATATTCTGCCATGTAATTAGAATCAGAGCGAATAAATCAATGAAAATGAGAGTGTCCGAAAGCCAAAGGCCTTATTGTGACACTAAGGCGAGACGGTCCCGGGAGCTCACACACTGCTGAGATCAAAAAGGCAGGTCAGGAGATCTGAATGACTTTTACCTGCTCCCTCTGAGCAGAAACGGTAACAGCGATCAGTCCTCATGGGGATGCAGATCTGAGAAGGTCAGTAAAACTTTCCAAAATTTGACATTAAGCCATTTGCGTGGTTCAGTGGTTAAAATATGCAAATATCGACTTCTGAATTAAGATCACTTTCTCACTGAAAAAACAGTTGTGCATTTGATCATCCATTTCATCTTCCTGTGGTAGTCTTGTGTAGGCAAAGATGTACACTTTTATTATTTCAATACTGCTAGATCAATCAGTCCCTTCAATCTGGTAATTAATGTAGATGGCGAGTTTGCGGTCTGTATTTTATTGCCGGTTAGAACATGGATTAGACAAAGGGTTACAGGCTGTACATGAATTCAGCGGTGTGGTCATTGACGAACCGCAATGCTTAGCCTAGCCGGGGATTTGAAAGTCCCTGGAGATTCCGATGCGTCACTGGTACAATGAATCGCTTTCCAAAACTGAGTAAAATTTTATCCTAAGCAAACCTGATGGAAAGCCACATCAGTGCTCTGCTCTTAACTTAGGAGTGGCTTACCATGGTCTATCTCTGTGTAATCACATACCGTAAACGTGTAAAAAAGCAGAGAGTCGGTTCCGCCTCCATCAATCCATTTCTATGGTAGAAAAGCTGGTGTCGTAAAGGCTCTTAAAGATCACTTAGTGCAAACACCTCTGCCACAGGCAGGGCTGCCAGCACTGGATCAGGATGCCCAGGGCCCCATTTGACCCGGCCTCGATCGCCTTTAGAGGCGGAGCTGTCACGACCTTTTTAAGAACGCCGAGCCACTGCCTCACAGCAGTGTTTAAATCGCTGGTTTAAAGCCATCCCGCCTCGTCCTATCACTGTCAGTTTGTAGCAGAAATGCCCAGTCACAGCCTGAAGCAGCGATTGAGCACCTGGTGAGAAGTCAGGGCCCACGCAGGCAAACTCAGGTGCATCCAATGTACCTGAGCGATTGCAAGGGGTGGAACCAGGATCCACCCCTTCCCAGACCTCATTTAAAGGTCGGCAGGGGAGGCAGGAACCTTTTGTCTGGTGAGTTTGTGGTCTTCTGAGGGTAAGCAGCTTTTTTTCCCTTTCATTTTTCAGCTGCTGCTTTTAGGCTCATTTTCATTTGCTGCAGCCAGAGGCTTTGCTACTCTGCTGTTGTTGTTGTGATCTCTATTACAGTGTATTGTTACACAGATCATGTAAGAAGTTGATCCCCTTCTTGTTTAAAAGCTTCCTTCGAGTGCTGGGAAGGCCACGACGAGGCTTTTTCTTCTCCAAGTTAAACAAACCCGATTCCATAAACTTTTCTTCATAGGAGACATGCTGCAGCCATTAGGTCACCCTTAGGGCTTCTTCTGCACCCACTCAAACAGCTCCCAGTATTTCTCACTTTCAGGGCACAGGACTTTAGATGGGGCCTTGTGCTGGCTGAGGGGCACCTTACTGCAAACCCATTTCATTCCCTGTTAAGTCCTGACAATTAGGTACGGTGTTGCCTCCTCCCTTTGTGGAGAAAGTGTCTTCCAGCTATGCGCTTTATAGGGGTTCTGTGCATACTTAGCGCCTCTTTAAGATCACAGAGACTGCAAAGCGTGGGAACTCCTCTCCCAAGGTGAATGCTTTTGCCTCTCGGCTGAAATTCCTCAAAGTTACTAGCAAAGCGGACAAGGGATTTTTCCTGACAGGGATTTTTTAGTTCTGACTGTCTTTAGCTCAAGGGAGAAAATAGCTAATATTAGCTAATAATAGCTAATACAGTAACTTAGTGTTTGGAAGCCCAAGTTCAAAGCGCTCTCTTCTGTTTCCCTGTCTTTTGCAAAACTGTAAGGCTGACACAGAGACACGCTTCTGAGCCAGAGAACTGTGATTTGTTTCATCACACCCCTGAAACAGCTTTGTTTCTTTTTTTTCTTGGAAAATTTAATTTTTATTTTGTTATCTGATTGTTAATTAATTAACTAAATTAGCTCCCAACTTCCCCTAATTGGCCGGTTACTCATTCGTAAAGTTATCTGCGATCTGTTGAGAGGATGGTGTGAGCACACTCAGAAATTCTGACCACGTAGGATATTCGTGTGGAATCACACTTCCAGTGGTCTGAAGAGGAAAATAAAAAGGCAATCTGAGGGCTGTTTTATACCACGTAGAGAACCTCAGCATTTCAGTATAGGGTTACTGAAGCTAAAAAACCAAAAGCTCAAATATTTTTTGGGAGTGACTGGGAGAAGGAGGAGCAGAAAGTTCTCCGTGGTGGTTAATCCCTCAGCTGCTAGACGCTACATTTTCTTTTCGGTTACCTTTCAATTTTTTCCAAGCGATTATTCCTTTTCAAGTTCTTCTCATCATTCCACTTCTCTCTGGGAAGCAGTTCTGCTTGGCTTCTCCAAGGCTGCTGTGTGTAGGTAACTTAAATGGCTTATACTGTAAGCAATAAGATGTGTAAGACCATGTCTGTAGCTCTCCTCTTTCCTTATTTTTCCTGCTTCTACCATGGGTTTTTTGGTGTCTGATACTTAAGAACCTACGAACCGTTAAATCAGGTAAAGAAGTTTAAAAGACCTACTGTTGTTCTTGGATGGTTGGTTGGTTGAGTTTTTTTTGTATTTAAAAATGCCTGTACTTTGAAATTCATTGTGTACATTTTTGGGGAGGAATTCATGTTCTTACTGGGTAACCCAATGCGATGCGTTAGTGAAATGACTGCACGTTATTATCACACGTGAGTATAGATATGGGAGAAAGTTAGATCTTCCTCATGTCCTGCGCTATTAGGGACTGATGTTCAACATAAGCAAGGAAGGATCAAGGGTCAGATTTTGGAAACAGTGAAATGCTGTTCACGGTCGCAAAGCCCACATGAGTTAAAGATTAGAGCTTTGATTTCTGTTTTACCATAACCTTTAAGAAACACTTAAAAAAGGATAAGCAAATCATTTCTTCTATTCAGAGACAGAAGAATACACTTAAAGCCAGCCTGGGCCTCTGGATAAAGAGACACTAAAGAGAGTCTTCCATTTATAAGGAAAAATTCATTATAAAGGCAGTTATTGTGGAAGCTCTCTTCAGAATGTGCGCGCCCAGGAAATACAGAAGGGGTTTTTTGGTGGTTTT